TTTTTTTGTTAACTTTCAAAATAGCAATCAGAACAATTAACATTTCTATAAGCTATTGAGATGTACGCAACTCAAATGCTATATTTTAGCTCGGTAAAAAGGTAAATGAAAATAGTTTCATTTAGAGTACTCTCCAGTGAGATTATCTACCTAATATGATGAATCAAATTAAATCAACTGGTTGTATCTTATTTATTCTTCTGGCACCTGCATTGACGATCAGTGGGGATATTGTGATGTTTATGTGATTTCGAAGTCTGGAGAAATGGGATGTATATCTGGCATTTTTAACTCCTTGCACCGTTTCTATATTTAGATTATTGTGTAGACGTAGAGTTTTGTTTGAGGCAAACCACGGCGCGTTCGTGATAATTCTGATTGTGAGAATTTTACCCTGTTTTCTTTGTATGTGAGATATTCGCGTCTTGCTGGCGCATCCTCACAGTTCAACGCCATAGGTTCATATTGGCTTGATCACCATTTGGTATATTAGAACCTTGTTTTCGAGGAAGAATTTAAATTTTGCACCGAGTAACCAATAAAATGGATTTACCCTTTTCTCTATTTGTTTACATTTCTTGCTGATATGCAGAATCCAACTTAATTATTTGTCTAAGTGGAATCCTAGATACTTCATTGTATCTGATTGTGGAATAACTTTATCATTTATTTTTATTGGAGGACATTTGTCTATCTTCAAGGTGAAATTGACTCGATTGGATTTCAATTCGTTTATTTAAAGTCTTGTTTAAATGATGCTGGAGATTTTGCACTGGGAATGCTAGGATTGTTATGAGATGTTACTATTACAGTGTCGCCAGCAAATGTACCAATCATTTACAAATACAGACAAATAATATTTTAGGATGCTCAATTAGACCATAAACTTTATGACATTATGTTTTACTAAAATTAATTAAGATTCGACCTAATGTAAATTTTCATCGAGTTTCATCAAATGGCTTTTTTTTTCTTCCCGTAAGATAAGTTATTGTAACCGTCCAGATATCAAACATTTGCATATCTTTATTTATAGAAAAATTGGATGTGTACGTAGGCATGGACACAATTTTTCGTCCATGATTTCGGGCGCATAGATCAACTATTTGAATAATTCAAAAACATTCGATTTCTACTGATCAGAATGCAGAAAATACAAATTAACTTTTTGAGATCCGATTTGAATGATTCAAAAAATATTCAGTATATAATGATGAGAAGAAGAGGCGATTAGTCCTTAGTAAAAACAAGTCCAGCCGTTTCGGAAATATGAAGCAAAATGTGCAAAAAATAGTTGTTTTTAAGAGAACAAAAACAAAAAACATTTTTGAACCAGTATACTTTGGAAAAACATAAAATAAAAATTAATGGTTCATTTTACATATTTTAAGCATTGTTTTAGTCGAACAGCATCCGCATGCAAAACCAACGCGTGCAGCATCAAGTATCACAATGGTGTCAAGTGTATAATTTGGTTTATTACAAAACGCATAGTTTTAATATTAATATAATATTACACAATCTATTAAGAATATGTATAATTCATAATAATTTTATATTGACACAATCTCGCGATCGTAGCCGGGGAAATAATCACAGCTATTTTAGTCTTCAATATGCCACATTTCGGATTATGTTCGTATATAAAGATTTGCTTTATAAATCCAATAGCAAATATATGGCAAATTCTACCGCAAATAATAGCATTTACAAATCGTTACAAAGTCTAGGTGTAAAAATACAATTAAAAAAATATTCAGCAGCGATCAGAACTATTAAGCATTCTATGAGCTGCTTAATTCTAGGTTTAAGGTTAAAGACACTATTAAAAGCCATCCCTCACTGTTAGAAATAAACACCAGTTGCCTCACTAGTGTGATATTGCAGCTATGCCCATAAAAGGCGATTTTCACTTGAAACTATATTTGAGATCAATAAACTCAAGTGAAAATTTGATATCATGCTGCCTGATGTCGGGCTTTGCCAAGGCAGTAACCAAGCTATCGAACCCGGGAAAAGTTTGTGCTAGCCCATCTCCGATCCGGTTACGCCACCGCTCAAGATATTAATTTTATATTTTATTTCTTTTTTTTAATTTATCTTTGTAAATAGTATCTTTGAGCTGTTGTGATGAATTTCTTACAAACTACGTTTGTTTTATTATAGATGGCAACCAAAAAAGTTGTCTCATTTCCATGTGCTGAATTTTTATTATTACAATTATTGTAATAGTGATGACTTTTTATTGACAATACCATATTAGGGCTGTTTTCACTTGGAATCATATTGCTATCGATACTTTCGAGTGAAAATCTTTGTCACTGCTGCCTGACAACAGGCTGCCCTGAAGTGGGTATCAAACCCGGGACCCCTGATCCAGGTCCAGTCATTCTAGCCACCTACCTACGAGCGATCTCCACTATTTAATATGATAGCAAGTTTAATATATATAATTCAAAGATATCATATCGCAAGATAGCTACATGTCTTCTTTGCTTGTACAATAATCCAAATAGTTATTTTAAATGCATAGACCTTATGAACATATTCTGTGGTAAAAGAGTTATTTTATTAAATTTGTTGTATACCTGAAATTGGATTTTTTTTTTGCTTTTGAGCAGAAATCATAATTTTGATATTCCATAAGTTTGATATTTCTATTCATGTCAATTAGATGGCATACAATAATTGTCTTGTTCTAGTTTTGATATAGTTTTTTAGCAGAGGGCAAATGAATAGTTGTTCTTTTGTAATTGTTATGGTGTCTCAAATTTCATGTAGTAATGCCCGGAAGGGCTATTTTTATTTGATAATATATTTATGATTCATATTTAAACGCACGTAACGCAGTATTTGAACTCGAAACCTTGTAGTTGCAAGGCCGAGACTGCTACTTGCGTCAGATACTCATCGAGGGCAACATTTCACTCGCAATTTTGAAGCATAGGGTTGTAAATAGTACCTTTCATTAAATATTATAATCATTTCATTGTTTGCTACGACTTAAGGGCACTGATAACATATAATTAACGTATTTACGACATTATATCGATGCACCGGGAAGGACATTCCATTCCGTTCCAAGGGCTCGTCCGTCTTAGGTCACATTGCCGCTACTGATGTGACCTCGTTGGAAGCTTTATTGTACAGTTGCATGCCTGGCCTTTGTGGTCACGGGCAGGTAAAACCCTTGACAACTTCGATTGCATTTCACCTTACATTTTCAAATATGTATTTGGTGTGTCACTTGTAATTTGCATAATGTGTTTAGAATGTTCCGGTGAAACTTTGCTGCTATTTATAAACGTTAAGCGGAATTAGTGCATTACGTTCAAGGTATTATACGAGTATAATTTTACGTATTTTAATTGATTGTCGCAAGCTATACATTTCATAAATTATTCTGATTCTATGGACCGCAGATTATCCTTAAATTAAAAAAAAATAGATTTTTAACTATTAAATATCTCTTTACGTACTGCTCTTCAGTATTCTTTTAACAGTGTTTGAATTGATAAATGCTCGGAGTTCGGATAATCGGAGTTCGGATAGTCGGAGTTCAGATAATTGGAGTTCTACTGTATATTAATAATATATTTATTACATAACACGTTGACTGCAGGCGTCGACAACGTGTAGACATTCCCTCCTTCTTTCTTGATGCGGCTGTCAACACGCTGTAGAGTGTAGACAGCGCTACATTTACTTTAAAATTCCCAATTTAGCGGTGATTTGAACTATTTAGTGATTACTATAAAAAGTAGAAGGATCCAAAGAACACTTTTTGCCACCACCAACGAATTACTGTTTGAATAAAACATTTTTTAAATAATACAGTGTAAATCAAATTATTTTTTAAATAAAACGTTTTGGCATAGAAAAACAATATTGGTCCAAAGACGTCAGCCGCCAACGTGTTAATTAATATATTTTCACAACGAAAAGTAAGACAATTTACTTAAAGAATACTTATAAATTATAAGGAAGAATTAATTTTAAAAGTAATTTCATACACATTTTACATACATTTTATTTTGAAGTCTCAATATTAAATAAATTGATGAAGCCATAAAATATTTTATAAATTTTTAGTGTTCCTAACATATAATATATAACAATTTGTATAACTTAATTTAAAATATACTGGAAAATATGCCGAATACAAGCTAAAACTAAAATATCTAATAACGTTCACTTGCGGAAATAATATAATAATAAAATAGTGTCATGACTGATGACAATAAATTATCGATGGCGTAGTATTTAATAGTTCGTAGTTATAAACCATATTTTATTACTTGAAATTAGGACAACCTGGTTTCATGTAGTACGGATATTTATTTTCACTTGAGAATATATATATCAAAATATGTCTATAACTAAAAGTAGCCTTTCCCAGCATTACTCCATTGAGTTAAATAAATATATCATGATTATTACAAAAAATCTAATAAAAAAATATATCAAATATAGTGACAAAGGTAACCGATGACGGGCACGCCCTTCAAATAGTCAGTGAATAATAAATCTCATTTACTCATGCATTAGTTTAACTATAATTCGGCTTATACAATTTAACGTTTTCTTGACTGGAGGGGCTTCGCAAACCTGAACTTCGATGACGCCCAAGCGCGGTCTAGCGTTGCCATCGAGCCTACATTTGAATTCCTCTAAAAATTGACATTTACTTACGAACTAAAGAAGTATTCAATTCAATAGCTCATAGGACACTTATGTTTATATACTGTATATAATACCTGTTCAAAAACAAACGAATTAAAACAAAAAAAAACAATTATATAAATTAATTAATAAATTATATAAAATGTATACTCAATATACAAAATTTATTTCAATATATTATTTAGATTATGCTATAACATTGTTTATTACAAATTCATAAATTACGTTATAAAAGTATCACATTAATGCAATATAACATGTATAAAATATAAATAGCTATTTAAAAGTAAATCACACATTACTTATTTTTATGCTGGTTATACAGTTAAATTAATTTTACCTTAAAACAATATCTGAAAACAAATACTGATCATAGCGAGTGAAATAAGAGCAAACACGGACGGATTCGTTAAACTGCTCATGTTGCAAAAATTGTAGTTACACGTTTTGCAGTCGGAAACTACGATGTTCTTGTCTGCCATATCTTTCTGGTATTTTTTACAATCCAGAATATTTGGCACACACTGTTTATTGTAAGAGGTGGCTCCGTTACTGTGCGTGATCGTTGCTTTCAAACAGTATTGGTTAGGTCCGCAATATTTGGTGTCCGTGCATCCCTTTGACGTACAATCGTAGCATTGCAAGTTTGAGCGCGATAGTCCTTGGGCCGAAACGTTCGATGAAACGAGCGCGGCTACAATTATTGTAATGCCGAAAATCCATTTGACGAACGAATGCATTTTAATGAGACTTCCTGCAAATAGTATTATATGAATGCGAAGATACACATTCTGTCGAATAACAATAAATTATATGTAACAAGTAACGAGTAATGAATATTTAGTTTGAATATAAATACGAGGTTGTGTGACAGGCATGGCCATTAAATTAATATCCTTGAACTTTAGGTATTAAAATAATTAATATCCTTGAACTTTATTAGGTTGGCTATCAAAGAAGTGCGGTTTTATCAGAAGCCAAAATAAATGAAATAAAAAAAGCGCGGTTTTCACTTTTAGATGGTTATAATTAATTTTTAGGATTGCTGACGTAATCCAAATGTAAACTACGTTTTGTTATTTTTTAAATTTTTTTTTACAATAATATTTAACTCTTTGGGGACGGCTGTCCACCTTTTTTTTAAAACAAACTTTATTACTAATTACTTTTTCTTTCTTATCTTACACACTACATATATTTTACTTTTTCTTTACATATTTTTACTGTTTATAACATTTTTCTTTACGACTATTTTTTCCAAGGGCAGGTCCGTGGGTTGAGTTGAAAATGCACTCAAACATGGTTGCACAATGTCAGAGCCCTTACATTTTTCTGTTGTATAGGGATACAACTCGATTTCCTTTTGTATTTCAAAGCGATACAATCTTAGTACCTTTTTACTTCCAAGTGGCATGTTGCCGCTACAGCTATGCCCACGAAAGGCCATTTTCACTGTAAATCATATTTGAAACCTATGATTTCAAGTGAAAATTTGGTATCAAGCTGCTTTGATACCGAGCCGACCTGGCTTCGAACCCGGGACTTGGATTTGCTAGCCCAAGTTCTTACCACGGGACCACGGCCGGCCCATTTATGGATAGTAACAACCTACCCATAGTATCTGCCTATCTTTAAAAAAAAAATTTTGATTGATTATGGAAAGTCAAATCGAAAATGTTTGTCATATTTTGCTTTTTTATTTGTGCAAAAGTAAAAAGACATGCTCACAAAAAGTTATGAGCTGTTTATGGTGACAAAGCCTTAAATAACGAGCAGTGTCAAATTTGGTTTGCCAAATTTTGTTCTGGTGACTTTTTCCTTAAAGACAAAAAGTTATCCAGTTGAAATTGATAACAAAGAAATTGTTTCTTTTCCCCCTTACCATTCAATCGAATGATCAGTTCTGGTATCCACATTGAACAAATAATAAAATTAAACAATGCAGTTGAAAAAAGCGGTCTGAATTGACAAGTCAAAGTGGTGCTTTATTCCATTATTGACATCATATATTTTTGGCCACTCGACAAAAATTATTGCTGCTTGTTCGTGATGTTTTGCCACATCCACCATACAATATACCTAGTAGACACGTCGCTGGGTGTTGCTACTATTTTCTTGTTTATATTATAAGATAATTATTGTTAGCAATCTCTGCTTAATGTTAATGCCTATGTAAAACAGATTGCAGAATAAATTAAATAAAAAAAACACCATATAGTCTTAATCTTGCACCTTCTGATTACTTTTTGTTTCGATGGTATTAAAATTCCTTGAAAGGTTTACAATTCAATGATGGTGTTAAATTGTACCTGTTTCAGATTTTTGCTAATAAAAACCACATGTTTTATGAAGGTGGAATAATGGTGCTGATTGAAAGATTATAAACAGAATAAAGTTATTTAGTTCCTTGAAGAAATGCTTTGATTTCCTAACAAAAATCCGCACTTACTTAGTTGCCAACCTGATAATATTGGAATTGAATACAAGTAAAGATAATAGACTCGTAATATGTAAATTCAATAGAGCACAATATGAAAATTTAGTATAAGATATAAAAATTAAAATGTTGTAAGTGGTCCAATGCTTGGACATGCGCTTCAATAAAACACTAACAATTTGCATAAACTTCCTGATATCTAACAGAGTTAATTGATAAAAATTTAAATGTGTTTCAAATATATCATTTGTTTTAATTGTTAATTACGAAGAGAAACGGTTTGGCTGGCCTTGATTGATCAACATTAAAAATTATCAGATCAGTGTGAAAATATTGGATAAAAAATTTATTATTCATAAGATATTATCAAAATTCCTTATCTAAGCCCAGTATTTATTATAATTTTAGATATATTGATTTGTATCGAAACTGATACGTTTTTTGTTGACTTGGTTACAATTATCAAATCTCCGAAATGCCAAACAACTAAACACGATAATTTTGAATATTATCAAATAATTAAGCAAAATAAAATGTAATCTAGCAGCATAACGGAAAGTAAAATGATTGCCTGATTATTCTCGCTAAAAGTTAGTTTTCGCATTATCGGTTTAAAGATATATTGATTTTATAAACACACAATATGATTTTTTTTAATTCAGTTCTGATTAATACATAAAATCAATTATATTTATAAGAAGAAACATAGAAATTAAAAGTAGTTATTGTAAGAAATATTTCAATTCCAATGTCCAAAAATTATGACTATTTATTATTATTTATTAAAAATAGTTTTTCATTGTATAATTAAAGTTCTGATTACTGTTAATATATGTAAAAAAAGTATTCAATATTTTATTTCATTTGGTACCGTATGCTAATAAACACATTGCAACATTTTATTTGAAAATATCATGACGCTGCATTAATTACGACATTTTGATAAAACATTAAGTGTGACTACTACTTGCACATTTTTACATTTTTATCACATTACTGTAGATATGATTTCAATACATTTTATTATATAAATAATTTAACACAGCGATTTAAATTGCGTTAAAATGTTATAAATTGTAATAATAGTTTTAGCTCAAAACAAGTTGTACATAACAATCTATAAATAACATTAGTGAACAAGTTCGAATAACTGCTTGACCACTCTAGCACTTTTAATTAAAAATGTATATTCTAATTATTATTTATATTATATATCATGCAGTATTTTATCTGTCACAACTTCGTATCACATCGACAAAATGCATTACAAGTTTATAATTAAAATTAAAACTAAAATTAGAGTTTGTAGTTTCTACTATAAAATGCAATATTCATAAATGTCACAATCACGTGTTAGTCAGCGCTGTGAATTCAGAATGATATCTTACCTAGGTCACACAGAATCTTTGTTTGAAAACACACACAAACAGCTCACGTCTCACGTTTTAATACACTCAGAAGTGATACAAATTCAGAAAATAACACACGTCTATACTACTACGAAACTATAGTCAATTCACACGTTAAGAATAGATTACAAATACTACAGATTAATATTGACCACAAGAAAATGTCAATTTGTCATGGATCTGAAAGCAAAAGCAAGATTCAAGACGACGTTTGATACTAATTTTTGCATTGACCGATATTAATAAGATTTCAACTGATCATTATCAAGCTAATTATTTGTTCGAGTATCATCTATTTCATGGTGTTATCTATATTATTCAATAATGATTTTAATCATTGATAGTCAAGTGATTATGCAGCATGGGCGAGTAACAGTTTTTGAACATCATACGACGAAATTGAATCGGTTCTTATTTTACATATTGCCAGCATTAAAATATGCATTAAGTTAGTGTAAAATTTAAAGTAAAGTAAAAAAATGATTTTTAAATTTAAAGGAAGTAAAACAAATCTCAACATACATATATCTACGCAGCACACTTTTTCTAAGGTATGTCAAAATGTACAGATATTGAAACATTTGCATTTTGGATTATAAATAATGATCTTTACACAAATCACGTTAAAATAAATATAAGCGTATTAATTCTAATTTATTATTAATAAAATAAATAATAAGTATATTTCATTAAAAATATTAATGTTATTACTGTTAAGGATAAACGCCATTACGCGAAACAATAATTAATAATATTTACAAAAGTTTTCTTTAAATTGCGCACAAAGGTCCAATTTGACTTTGAGCTATTATATTGGGAAAACTGAACCAATTTTATCACAACCGATAACACATATCAAACCCACTAGTATCTGACTTTGTAAAAATGTGTTTTTTTTGTTTTTAAAAAAATTGTCAACTGGTCCTTTTTAATCCATAGGCAAAGTAAAATCGGGCGGAAGGAGAAAACAAATCCAGTGTTTATTTTATTATCTTATTTTCAATTTACAAAGATTTTACAAAATAATAGCTACATTATTTAACTTATACAGATATGATAGATACATTTCTACAGAGATAACACTGCTTATTACCCTGATCTGGTATTTGTCTGAAATATTCATTAATAGAATTATTATTAATTTAATTTAGCTTTTCTAAAATAGATTTTTTCAATTTAATTTACTTTTATATTTACTATATTTTATTGTTTACACCTCTGCCAGGGCAAGGTTTAGTTAGTTCTCTTCATCCCATCCACATGTAAACTTTTAAAAGTTATATAAAAAAACTGTTGAATTTAACTTAAAATTAACAATATATTAAAAAAAAACAAAAAATGATAATAAAATACTTTTCTTGTTATGGATTTTCGAACATTTATTTTATTTTATCTCATAATAGCACGTCGTAAGTATTAAGGTAATGGCTGGATATACATCTTTCTTCCTCTACTTTGAAATATTGTTCTTGAAAAATTCTTACCAATACTTGTTTTTGAGATATTCCACGTCCTAAGTATCAAGGTAATGGCTGGATATACATTTTCCTCCTCTTCTTTCAAATATTGTTCTTGAAAAAATCTTAACAATACTTGTTTTTGAGATATTGGTGTGAATTTTTTTACACTCGGACCTTTGA